CTCTGTTCTTTGCCCAGTTCAACTTCAGAGTGACCTACATTCCAAGTATGCAAAACCAAAGGGCGGATGTCCTGTCCTGGAAACCAGAGTACTCTGACACTGCAGACTTGCTTCCACCCCGGACAGTTTTGCCCATCGAATCCTTTGCTGCAGTTCATGAGCCTGTGGACTTACAGTCTCAGATATGGGATGCACAGCGGTGCAACAAGTGGGTAGAGCAACGGAGGGCAGAGGTAGGGCCAGCTTCCCTGTGGACCTTCGACGATGACCTCTTGAGGTACCGGGACCGGCTCTATGTGCCCGCAGGGCCCCTCCGTGGACTTATTCTCTCCCAGTGTCATGACAATCCAGCAGCGGAACATTTTGGCCTTTTCAAGACTTTGAACCTGGTCTCTTGTACTTTCTGGTGGCCCTGCTTACGACACAACATGCAGATGTATGTCACTTCGTGTGTACAGTGTCGGCAGGCCGAGTCAGCGACGGGAGCTCCTCCAGGCCTGCTTCAGTCATTGCCGACCCTGGACAGACCCTGGGGAGCTGTGTCCATGGACTTTCTGACAGAACTGCCTCCGTCTTCGGGGTTTACCACGGTCCTCGTGGTAGTGGTGGACATGCTCACCAAAATGACACATTTCATCCCCTGTCGGAGATTGCCGACAGCCCGCACCACCACCCGCATGTTCATCCAGCATGTCTTCCAGCAATTCATGGCCCAGTTCTGGAAAGGGCTGATGGGGGCTCTAGACATCCAGGTTTGTTTGTCCTCGGTGCACCATCTTGACACCGACGGGGGGACGGAGAAGGTGATTGGGATCTTGGAACAGTACCTGTGCTACTTCGTGAATAAGCAGCAGAACAACTGGGCGGAGTACCTGGCCGTAGCAGAGTTTGCGTTTAACAACTCGCAGCATACCTCCACATGGATGACGCCCTTCATGGCTAACGTTGGGTATCACCCTCGCTTTTTCCCTCTTACCCCAGTTGACTCCCCGGTCCCCGCAGCACATGACTTCCTCTCTGAGCTCCAGGCGGTCCACCAAGTGGTGCACCGCTATTTGAATCAAGCGAAGGAGGACTACAAGAGGGTGGCAGATAGGTCTCGGCATGAGGTGCCTGAGTTGTCTGTTTCCAGTACTTGGTGGACTGGAAGTACGAGGGGTCAGACGGGGGAACTTGGACCGATGCAACGGACGTACATGCCCCTGCTTTGGTGCCAGCCTACCATGCACAATATGCCTCGAGGCCGCATCCTGAGCATCAGACCTGGGGGAAGGGCCCTGCGGTGAGGGATAGCGTTGTGGCCCAGCAGGAGCCATTGGAGCTGCCGATGGACTCCGATAGCGAGGGAACCTATGAGTTGGCTATGGAAGATGTGGAGGACCCTGGGCGGGGTTCAGACTCTGAGCCGTGGTGTTTGGAGAACCTCTAGGTTTTTATGGTCCATCCAGACCTCAAGCAGCAAAGCCTCTCCCTCCAACAGATGAAGCCATGTAATTAATGCCCACTGGACCGCATATGCCTCCTTTTCCTAGATGGCCCAGTTACACTTGGTGTCATTCAATTTGTGTGACATGTACGGACAGGGTTGCAGAACTCCATCTTCGTTGGCCTGCAATAGAACTGCGGCAACCGCCACACCACAGGCATCAGCCTGCACCATGAATGGCTTGGAGGGGTCAGTGTTGTGGCCCAGCAGGAGCCATCTGAGCTGCCAATGGACTCTGATAGCGAGGGACCGTATGGAAGATGTGGAGGACCCTGGGCAGGGTTCAGACTCCAAGCAGGGACCAGAGAGGCTGGTTGGCCACCAGGAGGCGCCTGAGGCATGGAGCAAGTGGGGAAGATCAAAGGGAGTTTGTCCCTGACGCCAGGCAAAGAAGGGTGGAGAAACAGAGGCAGCAGTTACGGAGACAGACTCATAAGAAATAATCAAGCNTGGGGTCCTGGGTCCCTCCCCACCTCCACTGTCGTCTCCGGGAACAGCATTGTTATTGGCCACCTCTGCAAAGGGGAGCAGTTCCGCCCAATCTAACTGTTGGTAACATACGTAGCAACGGATATACTGCTCTACCATTGCATTGGCTCTCTCAGCAGCTCCATTGGTAGCAGGGTGATAAGCTGAGCTAAGTCCTTGGGATGACCCTATCATGGCCAGGAATTGCCACCAGAATCTTGCCATGAATTGTACACTGCGGTTGGAGATAATCCTTCGTGGCACTCCGTGGAGGCGATAGACATGGGTTATAAAATGTTTAGCCAGTTTTCTGGCAGATGGTAAGCCATTACAAGGCACAAAATGGGCTTGTTTGGAAAATAGATTGATAACCATCCACATGACCGTATTTCCCTTACTGTCTGGCAAGTCAACTATAAAATCCATGCCTATCTCCTCCCATGATTTTACAGGTGATGTTACTGCCTGTAACAATCCTGGGGTTTTCCCTGCTGTTGTTTCATAGTGGCGCAAGTCACACAGCTGCACACATACTCTTCTATATCCTTCTTGCATTGCAGCCACCAGAATTGTCGGTTCGTCAGGTGTAAGGTTTTGAGGAACCTGAAATGACTGGCTGGCTGGGCGTCATGACAGCATCTCAGCACCTCTATCTGAAGGGACTCAGGAACATAAATCTTAGAACCCTTCCATGCCAACCCGTCCCATTGACTAAGATGGTCTTGATGTTCTTGGAACCATTTATCTGCTGCCAGTGTGGCCTGGATGGATTGGGCTATATCCTGCACTGGGAACTTTTGTTGAGCAGACAGTAACCCTTGTTGGGTGGCCGGTGAGGCAGATGGGACCATAGCCTCCACTACCACCTCCCATCCATTTGCGTATTGTGGTTTTCTAGACAGTGCATCCGCCAGGAAGTTCCTTCTTCCTGGGACAAGTTTTAATTGCATGTTAAAGCGTCAGAAAAACATTGCCCAGCAAACCTGTTTGGGAGACAAACGCCGTGGTGTTTGGAGGACCTCTAGGTTTTTATCGTCTATCCAGACCTCAAGCAGCAAACCCCCCTCCCTCCAACAGATGAAGCCATGTAATTAATGCCCACTGGACCGCAAACGCCTCCTTTTCCTAAATGGCCCAGTTACACTTGGTGTCATTCAATTTGTGTGAGATGTATGGACAGGGTTGCAGAACTCCATCCTCGTTGGCCTGCAATAGAACTGTGGCAACCACCACGTCACTGGCATCAGCTTGCACCATGAATGGCTTGGAGGGGTCAGTGTTGTGGCCCAGCAGTAGCCGTTGGAGCTGCCGATGGACTCTGATAGCGAGGGACCCTATGAGTTGGCTATGGAAGATGTGGACCCTGGGCAGGGTCTGAGACTCTGTTGCGATTACCGTCGCCTGAATGCCATCACAGTGCGCAACCGTTACCTGCTGCCCCTGATTCCTGAGTTGTTGGAGCGGCTCTGGGAGGCGACGGTGTTCACAAAACTGGACTTGCGTGGGGCTTATAATCTGGTCCGAGTCTGGGTGGGAGACAAATGGAAGACGGCCTTTGGCACCCGGTACGGACATTTCGAGTACACAGTCATGCCGTTTGGTTTGACCAATGCCCCAGCAGTCTTCCAGCACTTCATGAGCGATATCTTCCGGGACCTCTTGGATCAGTTTTTCGTCATTTACCTGGACGACATCTTGATCTACTTGACGTCTCGGAAGGATCATCAGCACCACCTACGCCTGGTCCTGCAATGACTCCGGGAGCATCGTTTGTTCGCAAAGTTGGAGAAGTGTCAGTTCTGGCAGACTACCATCAAGTTCCTGGGGCACTATATCTCTCCTGAAGGAGTTGCGATGGAGCCAGGCAAGGTAGAGGCGTTGCGCAGTTGGCAACCTCCTCGATGTATGAAGGATGTCCAGAGACTCCTCGGGTTTGCCAACTATTACCGGACCTTAATCCCCAGCTTTGCTTTTCTGACCTCACCCCTCACTTGGCTCCTGCAGAAGAAAGTGCCGTTTCGCTGGGGGCCCACAGAGCAACACACGTTTGAGGCCCTGAAGGATGCCTTCACGAAGGAGCCAATTCTGAAGCACCCTGATCCCCATTGTCCGTTTGTGGTGGAGGTGGACGCGTCTGACATCGGGGTGGGCGTGGTGTTACTGCAGGCTCACGCCCCTGGCGGTACCCTTTTCCCTTGCGCTTATTACTCGCAGAAACCCAATCCTTCCAAGCGCAATTACACCATCTGGGAGAAGGAGTTGCTGGCTATCAAGGTGGCATTTGAGGCCTGGAGGCATCACCTGGAGAGGGCCAGGCATCAAGTCGAGGTCCGGATGGACCATAGGAATCTAGAGTTCCTGACAATGGCGCACAAGTTGAACCAGCGCCAGATCCGGTGGTCTCTGTTCTTTGCCCAGTTCAACTTCAGAGTGACCTACATTCCAAGTATGCAAAACCAAAGGGCGGATGTCCTGTC